GTTAGATAATCCCTAGCGCTATGCGTATAACCAGCGGAATTACAAATTTTATGTGAAATATACTCGGGTTGGTGTAAAAACTTGACCACGCAAAAAAAAAAAAATAATAAAATGCGTATTTAAATAAACGCCACCGTTCGGTTTCCCCGCAATAAGTCGAATGAAATCTGTAGAAAAATTTTATTGACAGCTATACGAAGTAGTACAAAACTGTTTTTGAAAACCGTCAACAGGTAATTCAAAAATATCAAAAACTGAATGAAATTAATTTAATTGAATTATATTATTGATTATAGTGGAGACTTTGATCAAAACATCAAATAGTTATCGCAAAAAGGTGTTACCTCAAGGTTTGTTGGAGCGTTACACCTCTTTACTTCTGTCAAGAAGGGATTAAAACTGGTGAAAGTGCACCAGAACGATGTTTCGGTAGGCGTGATAAAGCAGTTAAGCAATCGATAATGTGCATTGGATCTTCCAGTAAGGTTCAACTCCAGCACACAAGACAAAAACCACCATTGGTGGCTTAAAAGCAATATTCCCGGTTTCATACCATCAGCTGATGATGAATGATGGAAGTTCAGATTTAAGCCTATTGGACTACAGAAATGGGGAGCATGGCTTATCAAGCATCTCACAGAAAATTGGAGTCTTAAAAAAACTTTAGATACGTCGGCGTCGTCGATACCAATAGAAACTGTGCGTGCTGCTATTGATCAATCGTCGGATAATTTGTGGGTTTGTGTAAAAGCAAACGTTGATCATTTCTTACAAAATTGTATACATTATGAAACATAATAAACTTTGTTAAAAAATGTATTATAATTTCATTTTTATATCGGCCTAAAATTGTAACAGAACTTATGGCAGGACTAAGTAAACCTATTGTTCTAAAAATGAAGCAGACAATGGCAAAACAGAAAAACGTCAGCGGCGACGTAACGAACATCGCAATGGAGCGCAGCTGGAACAGTTCTTCGATAATATTAAAAGCTACGGAAGGAACTGGATGATGTCTGAGAACAAACCGCGGTCTATAGTTGAAATCAACAACCAACCGGATGCATCGCCCTAGGCCACCACATCTAAACGGCGAGCCATCAGTTTTGCAGAAACATCTATTGTACACAATTTTCAAAACTTTAACACGATATTTGGTTCCAACTGATTGACAAGGACTTCAGCTTAGGGAATTTCTAACTCAGAAAATCGAATATAAGCAAGATCGCAAAATTTGGAAAAAACTTAAATTTTGAGGTAAGAATTACACCTAGTGGAATTGGCTATACAAAGAATTAATGACAGTTTTCTAGTTTTACATATTTTTTAAGTCAGTTGATTACTATTTATAATCATTTTTAAAACAGTTGAAATTTATAATATTTACAACCAACCTAAGTTTGAGAATATTCGCAGCTTTTGAAAATTTTGACCTCTCTATAGAACGTTTTTAAGTTTCATGAAGTCACCAGAAACCGAGCCTTCGCTCCTTCGTTTTAAAGTGGGCATTACCTCGCTATTTATACATAGGTATATAGTATACATTTGTGGTGATCATTAATTATTCGCCCATTTTTATTAAATTTTTTTTAAGCTCGCAGTTCAATAATAATAATAATGGAGGCCGTCGTAGTTAGTACGAGAGCTTGGATATAACTAAGTAGATTTCAGATTCAAATCTTCGCCGAGACTATTTGCAAACGAAATAGAACTTTTCTTACTAATAGCGGTCTAATATCATACAAATTCAATATCGGAACATACTTATACCTATATAGGTATATAAAATGAGTTCAAATTAGGGAAAGAACCTGGAAACATACTTTAAGCCTATGGTCAATTAGTAAATTTTTTAAACTGTAGATTAAGTTTATCCGAACAAAATGGTGGAAGTTCTAAATACCCAAATTTTCATTAACAATATCTCCAACACTTTCCTCAGATTCCTTAGAATTTTGACTAGCTCAATAAACTTCATTTTACGGTAATTTGAAATCGTTTTCTGGAGTTTTTCTATTCCGGAATTTTTTTCGATCTAAAGTTGTATTTTATTAACCCTAGATTTCAAAAACCAACTAGAACATGGGCAACTAAAAATTATATATCTCATAAAGTAATCGTTTGAACATTTTTCGATGAAATTTACGGACGAGGGGTACATCTAGTGCGACAGCCTAAAAAAATGCAATTTTTGCGAATTAAAAAAAAATACTTTTATCAATTATTTTTAATATACAAAGTCAAATATTTGAAAACAAAAGTCCTCCATTGCTGCAATTGACCTACAGTCATCGATTTACTATACCCTGAATAGTTAAGTTGGCCACAAAATTTTTAACAACCAAAAAGAAACGTCAGAGACCCTATAAAGTTTATATATAATATATAAATGATTAAGGTGACGAGCTGATTCGATATATACTAGTCCCTCAGTTTTTGAGATATCGATATAAAATTTTGCACTCACCCTTTTGTCATCAAGAAGCTGAACGGAACGGCCGATATCGAACCGCTATAGCATATAGCTGTGATACAAACTGAACGATCGGAATTAAGAGCTTGTATGAAAAACTTCTTGATTTGACAAGCTATGTTCGTCGAATTCGGCATGACAACGGTACAATCTCCAAAGTAATTGTTCAGATCAAATTGCTAAAGCATATAGCTGTCATGCATACTGAACGAAGGGAATAAAGTTTTTGTAAGGAGTCTTTTGCATTTGTCAAGGGAAACGAAGTTAACGTTTTTTCTTTTTTTTAATTTACACTTGGTGTGCCTCCTAATTAAAATAATTGACTAGCTTTTGTTTTTGGAAATTTGAGCATTTATTTATATCTTTTGAATTGTTGGGTTTTATATTTCATAATAATTAGTTAATGGCTAATTAAATTAAGCATTTAAGACAACTATACATAGTAATAGTAATAATAATAATAATATTAATAATAATAATATATTAATTTCTGCACAATTTTTTACAGTTAACACATTAACACAATTTTATTTGTACATAAATATATACCGCACTTTGCAGTTAAATATATAAAACCGCTATGTTTGTATATATTTAAATAATGCTTAATACTTACAAATATTTTATTGCTATTCACATATACTTACATTTACATATGTATATAGTTTAACTTATTTGCAGTAGTACTTCCATACTTAGAGATAATAGTAAAAAATATATGTGTGTGTAAGTAAAGTAAAGCAAAATTAAAATATATTGTATATGTAAGTATGTATAAGTAAAATGCTGTAAACTTGCGGAAGCACTCTCATTGAAAATGTAGTAGTAACCTTTTAGCCTTTAAAGCGTTCGTTATTATTATTTAAGCTTTAAATTTTTTTTGTTTTATTGTTATGTTTAACAAAATTAAAGTGTAATCACAATGTGTGCTTATGATGTTTTGATTTACTTTTTATTTATTATTTATTTTTTTTTTTTGTTATTTCTTTTCATTTGGTACACATCGTTAAAAATCTTTTTTTGATTATATTATTGCATTTTCATATATTTCCTAAATTAAAATAAAAAAAACAGTTATATTACTTCTATTTTTACTGCAGCGCAGCTTCTTTAACGGTACTGGGGTTCAAATGTGATGGTTGTGCAATAGCGTAGAAATTTGTTGTAGCGCTAATTTTGTACAAAATTATTTGCACCTTTTTAAATTGTTTAAATATATTACTACATATTTATATTCATTGTATCAAAGTTTTCTTTGTCTATATGGCAATTTGGACTACGAATATCAAAGCACGTGAGAATTTTGTTTTTCATTTTTATTCATTTGTAATTAGTTTTAATTGCACATTATGCAAAGTAATTTATAAAAACACATGTCAGATTTTTACGGTTCATATGTTTGTTTATCTAAATTAAAGCGGTCGGTTAGTTTTCATTTGTATATGTATGTATGTATATTATATTTAAAATCCGGTCAATCTAAAAATCCAAAGATTTACAAATTTACAATAAGCTCAGTAATATAATTTTATGATCTTTAATTTTTGAAAATCGCGAAAAAATCATTTTTTGAGCTTTGACTCATAACAAATTTTTTTCCACACATCGGAACGATGTTGATTTTTAATATATAAACTTTAACTATGTATTCACTCTTGCAGCATGTTGTAAATTTATGTACCTTTACTTTTAATATCTGGACTAATTTAACCGGTCCATTAATTTTGTGAATGTTTTTTATTTTGTTGTATTTTATTATTACTTTTTTAGTTATCTATATTTAATTTAGTTATTTTTATTAATATTATTACTAGTATTTTTTTCATTGCGATTCAATTTATTTAGTTTTATATATTTTTTTTTTCTTTTAATTTTATTTTACTTTATTTTTAATGTATTTTTTATTTATTTTAATTAAAAAATTAAAATTTTTAATTTATGTTAATTTTATTAAAATTTTCATTTATTTATTTTCCTTTTATTTTATTATAATTTTATTTTTCACTTCAATTCTAAAATTAACTAAAATTTAACTTTTTTATTTTATATAATTTCTATTAATTTTATTTCTTCCTTTTTATTCCATTTAGTTTTATTTATTTTTAATATTAATTTAATATAATCTTTATGGTTTTCATTTATTTCATTCTTTCCCTTTTCTTTATTTTCTTTTTTATTTCCTTTCACTTCTTTTCATTCGATTATATTTTGTTTTAGTTTATAGTTAGTTTGTATATAATACGTGTTATTTTATTTTACTTCATTTCATTCGATTTTCTATTAATAATTTTTTATTTACCATTTATATAATGTAAAGTTTTTTTTAACATCTATTATGTTTTTTTTTATTTATTTATATTTACGATTTTTTATTATTTTATTTAATTAATTTTTTATTTTTTTAGTTTTATTTTAATTTTAGTTTTAAATTTTTTGAATTTTTTCATTTTATTTAAATTTATTTTATTTTACTTCATTTTATTTAATTTAATTTTAATATATTCGTTTTTATTTTATTAATATTGCTTTTAATTTAATTTATTAATTATTATTTTTATTTGGATTTATTTTTTTAAGTCTGTGTTTTTAAATTTTAAAATTTAATTATTTATTATTTATTATTAATTTTTTAATTAATCTTGTTTAAATTTATTACATTTTTTGTGCAACATGTTTTATTTTTTTCTATGACCAAAAATATTTTTTTTCAACTTTTTAAACTAAATTTCGTTTTGAATTTAGCGACTTTCTGAAAGTATATACTATTAAATTAAAATTAACTTATATGAAAAATTGCGCTTTATAAACATACTAGGCACTAAAAACTCAGATATTTTTGATTTTTTTATATTCAAGCACACTAACTTTCATATTTAGAAATTTATACAACGTTTTTATGGTTTTTAATTTTTTTTTAATTACTAACAGCTATTTAATTTAAAAAAGTAACATAAAAATTTAATTTTCGTTTCTCACTAAATATTTGAAATATTTAATATAAATTATGAGTACGTTATGTAATAATGTAAAACTGTTGTGCAAACTTAAAATTAAGATCACGATTATTGGGATTTCTCTTATTTTTCGTGCGCACGCCTTGTGTTCTTTAGCACACTATGTACAGTTATATGTATATATATAAGTAAGCATGTAATCTCCTCAAACAAATTAATTGAATTCATAATTAAAAGACTTAATACTTAAACATGAGTAAGCACAGAAAATAGCAAATACGTAGTTGAAATAACGATTTATATGTAGTATATGCATGTATGCATACTAAAATATAATTACAACTGTAAATGTATATATGTTATATGCGTCTATATATGTATGTATGTGTAAACAATGTGTGTGTACTTTCGAAAATCAAGCACATTTGGAAGAATCCACATTCACATGCATGCACCGCAACCCCCACACACAGCACTTGATGCCGCCCACATGTGCGGACTTGGAGCCACAAATGAGGTTAGCTCGATGATCTCATAGCATTTGGCATTGTCAAGTTTGTACTCGCAATTATAGCACAGCTTTAAGTTTTCCATGTGTAAGTGTATGTGTTTGCGTGTGTGAGGGTGTTTGGCTTGGGGGCTCGTTGCTGTAGTCATAGCTAACTTTAGTCTACCGCCTAGGCGTTCAGCCCTCAAACAGCAATCTAATCATCATCTTTCTTGTCCGTTTTGAGGTCATATTTTGCACACAATTCTTCTGGCGTGTAGCTGTAATAAGAAAAAAGTTGGAGATAATTAAAAAATCTGCTGAATGCGCTCATCTCTATGACACAACTTACCCAATCAGGTTTTGTAGATCGCAAACGAATTTGTAGACATAGCGCTTGCCTGCCGTCTTGTGGATGATATTCTTGTCGTAATAATAACGGAGACCACGACTGAGCTTTTCATAGTTCATTTTTGGCTTGTTCTTGCGTATACCCCAGCGACGAGCAACCTGGAAAGGTCGAATGGATTCATTAGTTTTGAAGGACTCACTGTAGATTTTTGTGAATACTTCATATTAGTAGACAGTTTTTATTATTTGTTATTTTATTTGTTTTGGAAATAATTGTATTGTAATAAGTTTAGTTTAGAATTTCGTATTAAACCCTAATTTTGCTCTTTTTTTTGATTTCCATCTAAAGTTTAATTTTTCCTCACGTTGACTTTCTCACTGACTCTGTCTGTTTTATAGTTTAAGTGAGCTTTTTCTCTCACGCGACAACTCACCTCATCGGGATCGGTCAACTTGAACTCCCAGCCATCGCCAGTCCATGAAATAAACGCCTGACACGTCTTATCCATCAGTAGCTCCAATAGAAATTGCCACAACTGTATTGGCCCTGAGCCGGTGAAGCACGGCACGCCACCTTGCATGGGATATGCGCCCATAAGCGCCTTCTCCAAGCTCATCGTATTCATATACGCGGCTGAATGTTGCCCAGCATGATGTACGCCCCATTGATCTGCCGGCGACTGGCCACTCATTGACGAGAATCGCGTTGGATCGTAAGAACCATACTCCGATCCATAGGTATCGGGGAATGGTGAGCGTCCGTAGGCATTGTATTTTTGTTCATTATTCGCCACAGCTAGCCCATAGAAATCGGCGCCGTTGTCCTGATAACTCTGATGCTCTTGCGATGAGATTGTGCTTTGATAATCATTATCATCGTAGTGTACACCGGTGGCTGCAGCAACAGCTGCCGCAGCGGCAGCACCAGCGAGGTGAGGTGGCAAACCGTAAACGGACGAAACTGAGAGATCAGCCGGATCAGTTTGACCATTACTACTGCCACTGCCGAGACTCGAATATGAGGAGGTGTTCTGTGTGCCAGGTTCCTCTTTCATCTGATGTTGGCTGTAGAGTGCGGCCGCGGCAGCAGAGTTTCGTAACGCCACATGCATGTAATTCATATTGGCACTGTTGTTGTTGTTGTGATTGGGCGTCTGACCGGCCGACTGGTTGGCGTTGACGGCGGACGTATTGCTGTTCGCGGCGGGATTGCTTTGTTGTGACTGTTGTTGCTGCTGCTGCTGCTGCGCATGCGAAATCAGCGATCCATTGTTGTTAGCATTCTGCGTTTGTTGTTGCGTTTGCGGGGGCGGGCTATTATTGCTGTGATCATGCGGATTACTGCTGTAGCCTATAATGCAAGAAAAATATTGTTTTTGTTATTATTTAACTATGCAAAAAAATAATTAAAAGTTTTTCTTAATTAAACTAATGATTAAAAAATAAATTACAATAAATAATATGCAGTATTTAACTATATATATACATATATGTAGGTATTTTACGTAAGTCAAGAAGTCTTTAACACCCAGAAGAAAACATCGGAGACGTTATATATGATAGATATAAATGATCAGCTTGAAAAGCCGAATCGATTTATCCCTGGCCGTCTGTATGTCCGTTTTCCGAGAACTAGCCTCTCAATTTTTAAGATATCGATCTGAAATTTTGCACACGTCCTTTTCTCTCCAAGATGCTGTTCATTTGGCGAAACCGCCGATATCGGAACACTGTACCATATAGCTGCCACACAAACTGACCGATCCAAATAATGCTATCAAATTCATTTATGGAAACATTAATTTTGTGAAGGGTATTATATACAGCGTTGGGTGCAACCAAAACTAACGTTTTTTTCTGTTTTTATATATTTTTTATATTTATTTTAATTTTTTTAAATATTTTATTTTACTATTTCGAATCTGTGTAGTCTACAGCTAAGTATCTAGGTCGAATAAGGCCTGGAAGATTAGGGTTCCCATTATAGTGCATTATATTGCGTACGCTTATATATTATATACTTATACTTTTTATTTTTTCTTTTATTTTTTACTTTTTAATATACCGTATTTTGTCCATTATCTAACATTTAAAAAGCAGAGAAATGCACGTATTGTCTAAGATAAATTTATAATGCCCGCTAAAACTCGCTTGTAATATGCAGAAAAATTAGACCGAGATAAGTTATTAATAACTATGCTTTTTGTGTTAGCCCTAATATGCATAATGAGGGTCATATTTACATTTACATATACATACATATGTGAATATACATTTTTCTTCATTTTACTTCTTTTTGTTTATGCCACACATAAGCTCAACTGAAATGCATTCGAATGAGCCAACCTAATATATAATTGTATTACTATTTTCTTATATATATATATATATATATATATACATTCATTTTGTGTATAAATACATATACATATATGTACATACGTATACGGTTCATTTGCAAGCAAATCAAAAAAAAAATATACTCATATATTCATATATGAAAATTCATAAGTAAACATCTCCGTAGCTGCAGTCTTCTCAGAAGGCGTGCCCATCATTCAATCGTCTTGTCTTCAATACTTCATCACAAATACAACACCATCTCATAAGAGCACCGTACGCGCCCCATTAATTTGCGGCGCTGATTCGAGGAAATTCGAAAACCAATCAAAAGTGCACTCAACACCAATACAAAAACAAAGCGTACACAAAATGAGCTCCAAATGCCGCGAAAACAAAAACACATGACAAAAGCAATGGCTAGTGAGCAGAGCAGAGAACAGTCGTAGTGGGGAGCATAAACGAGTGTGAGTAGAGCGCGCTGCGCCAAAATTGCTCCCACAGGCCTTAGATGGGCGACTATAACTGTGAAAGGTGGGCAAGAGTTCATTCATACTTACTTGCCGCGTTAGAGTTCATTTGAGCGCAAATAATATGGAAAATATACAAACACATATAAATAAATATTACAAGTATATATGAAGAAAAATAGAGGATTGCAAAAGCAATCGTTTGTGAAAAACCTGTTGAATGTGAGCGTTATTAAAGCAAAGGTGTATTCAGCCGCTCGTTTGCAAACGTCACTGAGCTAGTTGCTCAGTTAAGTGACGAACGTTTTCAACCATTCATTCAAATCCAGTCGCCGTCATTCATTCACAACCGAAGCGTTAATTCACAGCCTGCTTGGTGGTCGGTCACACACATCTCTGCCAGCGCTTGAATAGAACCACTCGTTATGCCCAAGCAGCTCGCAATACTGCCTGCTGCCGACTGTCTCTGTCTGTTGTGCGCTTGCAAAGCGTGAAGCTTTTTTGTTTTTGTTTTGTTTTTTTGTGTTCTAGGGGTATAATCTGCTTTCGATACTGCGCAGATACCGCATATTGTTGAAGAGATGTGAAATAACTCACTGGCTCACACACACACACACAAATTGAAATACAACGAACACCATCACGATATGTGGTGGAGCTGAAGCAATGAGGCACAAAATACTCCTCCCACTTGATGGGCGCATAGGGAATATTGTTGCCATAACCCCAGTAGGGAATATTCGCACTTTTGTGGGAAATATTTTGGCTCAAATTTAGTATTGGAGGCAATTCTGGATGAGTGCATAAGCAATAAGCTATTGAAATAATGATAGATCATTAATTTTGTTTGCAAACATAAAAAAGAAATTTTAGACTGTTGATGATGCCGATGAAATAAAGGAGCTTTTTGAAAACCAAAATATAATATTAAGTGGTTATTTATACTTTGAATTTCAAAAATATATTTTTTGTGCATATTTTTTATGTACTTAAGTTTATTAAACTATTAGTTTCGGAGATATGAGCCTATGAGTTCTTTAACTTAGTGTAATCGGTTCCCATTTTACTTTAAACGTGTCTTTCTCGAAACTCTGTTTTTAGAGCCGGTAAGGAAAGTTTTTCCGAAACGGGTGTATCTATCGAAAGAAGACGATTTTTGATAATAATTTCGAGTTTGTAAGCCACTCAGAAGTTTGAATAAAAAAAAAACTACTTTTTTCGGGGAACCGTCATTTTGTCAAAAAACAAAGCTTTGACTAGTCTTTCGATCATTACCTTTATACATCCATAGTAATAAAAAAAATTTTAATTTACAAATGACTTGTGATCTCATTGGAACCATTGGAAGAGCTTCAAAAACACAGCATTTCATTTTTAATAATTTAAAAATAGTCAATTATAAACCAATATCTATAAAAAATTCCAAATTTTTCAATGGTGTATTAAAACAGGGTTGTATTTGCATAATCATCAAAAGCGTGGAGCTTAAGACTAGCAAAGGCGGTTTTTGTTTTTTGTGTTTTAGTTTTTTAGAAGTAGTTTTTTATGTTAGACACCAAAATAGGTAATAAATTCGAGTATTCAAAGCAATGGATGGATATTATAAATTATTGAGAAAATCGAAACAGTGATTTCAACCAAATTCAAATCAAACAAAAACTTGAATAAATTTACGAGGAAAGTTTTCATACCATTAATTTTTAATAATTTATATTTTTTATGGTCGGAGAGGCCTCATTTGAAAATTTCCATTTAGCCAAAAGTGCTTAATTAATGCTCTATAAAGTTTAGGCAATAGAAGACTCGATTTACCAAGAATAATATTCTATGATTTTTATGTTAAGTTGAATAGTAATAGTTTTCTCAACTAAACAATTAGGAAGATCATAATTTTGTATTTAACAATAAAAATTATAGTAACAAGATAAATCGTATTAAAAATACTGACATATTGTCGAAATATGTGAAAAGTGTTAAGGTGACCAAATTTCTATGTTTCATATTTTAAGATTTGTTTTATGTGGTATTTATGAAAAAAATTATTTTTGTACTCTAAAATATAGTTTGTAATATCATAAGCTAGCATAATGTCGAAATATGTGATTAGACCAGAATTTTTTATTTTTATTACCATTATTATTATTTTATATTTTATTTTTATTTTTCGAAATTTTTTAGTATAGTATAGATATTATACAAAAATTACTCCCAGAAGATATAGCTATATTCTTAAAGTAAAACAATAAATCTTACACATACATATGCATGTATGTATGTATATCATGGCGAAAAGTATAGATTGAGAAATGTAGTTTAGATGTAGGGATTTTCTTTAAAATACTGATCACTAGCGAATTATTTTTAATTGATTGCTGAGTAACGAGCATAATTCAAAGTTATAAATGACAACTAGACAGCCCTTGCTAGATTTGAAAAATTATTGCCATAAATTGCCTGCTGAAGTTAATCTCATTATGAAGAAGGAAACTAATCTTGCAAAAAAAAAACTGGCTGAGCTAAATTTTTATAAGAACCATACTATGTACATAAAATTATAACAACAATTTTCCCCACTTAAAATGCATTTCCAATTGATTAATTTTAATTTAAGTTAGCTGAAGTACTTAGGCTGCTTGTTGTCATTGTTCCCAAAAGATTTTATTTCAATAGTTCATTGTTCCAGCGAAAAATAATACTTAGTTAAATTCAATTCAAAACTCATTAAAATCGGGCACTTAATCAAGGCACAATAAATAGCGCAAGAGTGTAGTGATATTCAAATTCTAAAGAGCCACTCTTCGGCACAAATCATCAACAAAAATGCCCAAATAATAGACTTAGTTAGGCATATGACAATATACAAGCACATATGTACATATGTATGTATGCATGTATATGCTCGTAAAATCACAGCCACTTAACCAACCCGGCGGCGGGGTACCAATTGCGCGCTCAGGCAAAAAGCAAAAAGGAACAAAAAAACAGCTGGCAGAACAAAGCTACAGCGACTTGTTGATTCACCGAGCGGCGGTCGCATGGTGGCAATGTCACTGTGGTTGCCTTACATTTGTAAATACACACATTGACTTGTTGGTGTAAATATCACACTGGCGCAACCCTCATATGCATGCCTGCTTGTAGTTAATAGCCACCCACAGCCTTACACACTCAACCGCACACATACACTCGCAGTGTTGTAAGCATATAATATACACCGAAATGTGTTGTTGTTGCCCCAAATGGACGCTTGTGCCTGGGAATTTAAATAAATTGCAATTTAATTACTCGAGCAGCTCAACATTTCACTCATCCCGAGCGTCTTGCGGCCCACAAGCGCCAAAATAAACACATACACACACGCACGTGCATNTTTTAGAAATATAAATGGGCTTGCATAACACTATTTACATTTATTTGCGTGTGTGTGTATGTGTATGTGCTTTGCGGTTATTTATATTTACATTTATCACAAGTTCACACCCTCGTTAGTGCGCAATTAAGTTGCAACCAGCCGCCACGTTGGTGAGCACATAATTAAAGTTTCGTTT